TAAGCTCATTGTTTTAATCATGAAGACTAGGTATATATATAGATAAATATCTAGTTTTCATGGTTTTATTATTAATCAATTATCAATCAAGTACTTTAATAATAAAGGATAAATTTCATCATCTAAATACTTTCTTTCATTTGTTTTATTATATTTTATAACATGAATACATATTATGTACAATATTGTCAGTACTTATACGTACCTACCTGTAGTGATACAGTACCCTTTTTGTGAAATTACTTAAATCAACAAAAACATGACAAGTAGTTAGACTAATTTTAAATATGTCCTTCAATTTTGAATATTAAAAACAAAATGAAACAGAGAACATAAACGCGAATAAATAATTTTGACATGTCTGTCAAGCATCATTTGATGATTCAAAAGCAAATAAAATATCTATCCATGAACGATATGAACATAACGACCATGATGAAAAAATTTAACTGAATAAGGATGTTTTAAATTTTAATATACAGTCTGATGATTTGGATGACATTAATTTGAGTTCAAAGCAACCTAATTTCAAATAAATTAAAAATACTTAAATAATAAATTAATTGTAATTAGAATAAAAAAAGAAATAACTCAATTCTTGAATAATAATATAATATATTAAATAGTTTTAATATATTGTGTTACATTATATTTTAATCAATATTTTTATACTTTTATATTAATATTAATATTTTTTTCGTGTTCAAATTATAAATTTTAAAGAATTGTATTACTAAAATATAGTAGTATGGATGATTTTTATAACTTTGTTAATTATGTAGAAATGGTCGATGAATATTTCGATGAATTTGATGTTGAACAAATGCCAAGAAAGTATATTCGTATAGAAGACCCGTTTGAAAAATACAATGACTATACATTTTTGAAACGTTATCGTTTTCCAAAACTGATTGTCATGGATCAGATAGTAGATTTATTAGGTATTCAAGTCAATCATCGAGGATTGCCTATAACTCCCATTCAAGTTATTGATAACATTACGATTTTATACAATAGCAAACTTTTCTAATTTTAACCTATCTAATTTTAATTTGTAAAAACTATTATTAACATTTTTCCTCTTCAAAAATATTAGGAGCACGGACGCGTTTATATTTCTGAATTTCTTGTCATTATAAATATTTTTATTAAATTAGAAATCAAAATTAAATATACAAATTTAAAAATATTAATATTATTCGTTATCTTATGCATTTTCGGTAATATGAACATAGTTACACTGATAACAATGGTTATTATCACATACACTTTACATAACTATTGAATACATAAATATCGTTTATGCAAAACCAACTTATAGGGTACATAAAAATAGTTACGGGTTACATATAAATATTATGGATAACTTATATAATGGTCACTTAAGCAATTATATGTGACACATAACAACAGGACTATGCACACGAGCATAAGTCTGCAATCGGTGCGGTTCTGATTTCTTTTTTTTCAAAATCTCTTTCGTTCCTCTGCGAACTGCAGTCAATGTAAATCGACCGGAAAATGTAATCGACGACCGTGAGGCAAACGAAAATAAGTAAATTAAATACCTATTGGCGAACTTTTTTATCTTTCACTTTCGTTTTATTAAACGCATACATTATCACATAAAATAAAATAAAAAACAAATGGCTTGTAATAACCACTGTACACAATCTGTTTCGTGTGCGGTTATTATGCTTTACGGGAGGGATAATAAACAATCGCAGTCCAAGTTCACTAATGATTGATTGAATTTAAAACAATCGTAAATAATCGGAAATTTCTGCTTTTTTTAACGATAACTTCTTACAAGTCATGTTCACCGATACATCTTTTAGAAGATAATCGTCCTCAAATTTATAATGCGTTTCAACAATGCGGTACTCTGTTGTGGTTCACGGGACGCATTTAATGATAAATGTCTGAGTGAACTTGATTGTCATGCCGTATTCTGGACGCTATAGTTCGCAGGCCGATATAACCGTAAACACCGTTGGGTGCGGTCTAACGGTGTCCAATAAACGAACGGTAACTGTACATTTACTATACTCCATCCACTTTATGAAACTTTCAATCAAATACATCCCGTACATTTCATGGTCAGGATGTCCATGTTGTGTGAATATGTATACAGACTGTTCGTTGAACATCTGTTGTAAAGCCATCGGATTTGGCTTGCCCATCAACGCATCAAAATATTTCGTACTGAATCCATTTCCGATCGATTCAACCTTTTCAGCGGCCGTCACGTTGGTCTTGCCCGAGTTGTTCATCATCCCCATATTTGTACAAAGTCGATTATGTTTGTGTTTGACAAGAAAGTTTTCGGTAAAGATGTGCGAAATAATAAACGTCTATCTTCAACGAATGCTAATCATCGAATGATGTATCAAAAACAATATGTTGAAGATTTGTAAAATTTACGTCATTATAGATATACTGTATAATATGTATATTATGAAAATTGTACCTAAATATAATAAAATCAATTAAAATAATATATAATGAAGTATATTTTATTTACTTTATTGAGTTTGACAATAACAAAATAGAAACTCGAACATAAAATGTACGTTTAAATATACCAATTTAATAAGAAAACAAGTCAAATTGTACATAGCTGAGTTGGTGTGACGTGTATAGTTTTATTGAAGAATAATAGTTTTATTACATTACAGTTGAGCCGATATTTGCCTACGCATTTAGTATGTTTTGCACTTGGTAGGTAGAAAAGCTCCGTTGTACTATCGTTATACGTTTTTACAGAATATTTGAAATACATTTAAAATTTAGTGCTAAAGTATTGGGTGGTCTTGTTAACCATTAATTCGTATTGATAAATTCGTAAAATAAGCAATGGTAATTCATTAACCTTAGACATAACTAGGGGGGGGGGGGTAAGAGAAAACTTTTAGCACCCCGGTTTTTTTTTTTTAGACGGTGAAACACCATCGATTTTCAGCGGTTTCAGCACCCCCGTTCGCGCCTTCCGCGATACGTGGAATCCCGAAGAAAAATTAAACGAAAACTAAGTAGCGGCATTATCAAATCACGCGCCCGTCACAATCATAGATAATAGAAGAAACAATTCCATATTGCACAGGACAAGAATCATTTTTAAATAAGCATATGCACAGAGATAATTTAATAAATTTAACAATCAATAAATATGTTGACATTCGTATTTTTCACGAAATTAGAAAAATAAATGATAACAATATTAAGGAAAAACGTACCCGAGCTAAGTTACCAAAGCTTATTCATTTTAGTCATAAGTAAATAATGTGTATTAAATATTGTCATTATACCGACTTATGGATCCAAATTGTGATTTATATATTTATTTAAAATTCGACATAGGTAATATCATTTTAATTATAAATTATAAGTAAATATAAGTATGATTTTGTTATTCAATATTAATATTAAAAATTAACATTAAATATAAAATATGATGAATAACGAAAAGAACTGAATATAAAAAAACACCTATTATAGTTATTGATTATTTAAATTTACAATTTGACATTTTGATAATTAATAAGACCCCTTGTAACCTCAAAATAAATATTTATTCCCGTGTGATAAGTTGTAATGGCCTATTCATTCTTCTATTATCTATGTTAAATATCGTCCTTCGAGTTTTTAAGAAATTGCAACTGATAAAATAATCGTTAACAACATCAATAGAACCGTTATGTTTTAATCGAATATCGTTTCTTAGTTCATTCGTGAAAAATTCTCACCGAGGGAAGTTCCTAACTCTTCACGTTATTTAAATGTTTCTTTTTGCCTTATACATTTTTTTTGTTATTCAAAAACACTTATTTTTATTTTGAATATCCCTGATCACACGTGAATACTTCAAATCAAACTCGACGTAATGTACGCTGTAAAAACACCGAGCAAATACATGACGGCAAAAACTAGAAGAGGTGAGTTCATATTATTATTTAAAATACCTAGAAGGTTACCTATTTATAACATGAAATTTATACTACCGAAACATGGATTTTATCCTTTTTCTCTTCAGGTGTTCGCCATAGTTTTGATCGGCTAGATTCTTTTCGAGAAAATCTAAAAAAAGTTAATGGGACAGAAGAAGAAGAATTACCATCGTATGTATAAAATATAGTACAATGTACATCTTATCTAGTGTTTTTTCAAATCGTCTGTTTAACTTCAACTCAACAGCCCTGAACCAAAGCCAGTATTCCATTCAAACAGTCATCGTAAAGCTTTAAACAAGTGTCAACCTCCACATCAAGATATTTTAAGTCCCCAACATGAAAAACTCATACATTATATGAATCAATGTAAGTATACATTTTATGTTTTAAAATACATTTTATTTAAAATATTACTAAGCTTAAATGTAAAAATTATCATTAATTGTAATATGTTGTATCAACTAACCAATTTTAAGCTGATCTTATTTAATTCACTTTTTTTTTATCCACTATAGATTTTTTTCATATTTTATTAGTTAATATTGAAAATTTATTAATTTATACAAATATATATATATATATAGTTTTAACTACTTCAAAACTACAAATTAGTATTTTCTCTACTTACACTAACTTTAGAAAATCGAGCATCTGAACCGTAACTTTGTTAATAATAAAGTTAATGATTAACATCTTTGTTATATAATAAATATGTATTTTAATTCACTATTAATCTAATACATTTTATTAATATGTATACTTTTAAATTTATTATTATATTCTACTACTTTTTAACTAGTTAATTATAATATTGTATTGTTGGGTATGTATTATTATAAAGTAGGTTGTTAATTAAAATTTAGAAAAATATATTCTTTGTTTATTTTTTAACAATCTACTATTGTATTGCATTTAGGTAATTATAAAATTAACACAATTATATTTAAAAATATGTATATTAATATTTTAATCAAGTACATTGACTTAATATGATTTTTGTTTTAGCTTGGCATTCAGTTATAGAAGATGAAGATTCATCCAAAAGTATATAATTTATAGTAGATATTAAAAATTAATGTATTTAATATCTTATTTTAATTTTATTAGGTTCACAAAAAATTGTTTACTTCAAACCTGAAAATACTACAGAAGTTTTAAATGGTATATATTTGAATTTAAAATTGATTATGTAAAATTTAGTTTTTTTTTTTTTGCTCAGGATTTCAAGCATTTGATTTGGATACATACTGGATCAAACGTTTGTATAACAATATCACCAAGTCTGTGCCGTAAATCTTTCATACTTTAAATTATTTATTAGAAATAATTTTACCAAACTTGCCCATAGCTCATAATGTATCGAAGACATTTGAACACACGCGTATGATTAGTCAATATTGTGTCACAAATTGTAGAAATTAATCGATGTCTTTAGACACTGAATGGGATGGGAAGGGAAATATGGAAGCTAGTAGTGATGTAGTATTACATAGTAGAATCAATGTTATACAATTACCAACTTTAAATTTTGTGCAAGTATTGATTAGTTTATTGTTGTTTCTTTAAATGTACTGTTTTGTTTATAGTTATTATTTTTTTTATTATTATTATTAATTATTATTATACAAATTTATGTTGTGTGTTATCTGAACAAGACTGAAATTTGTATAAAAAAAAAAAAAATAAATAATAATGTGCAATCATTTATTTTTAAAAATAATTTTTGCTGTTTGAAATTTAAACTCCCTGCGATTAAAACAAATGTTTTTATCTGTTAATAATTTTTTTCTTAAACAATTGCTATATAAATGTCAACACTTTTGATATTGGCTTTATTTAATTTATTTACAATATTTCTTTCAAACATTTTTCCTTCATTTATCCGTGATTTATTTTTAAACATTATGTAAATTGAAAGGAATATACAAAGTAGGAATTCAATTGTAATACGACTTGCTTCTTTATCAATAAAATGTTATTAATTAGTTCCTAGGAATTATTATATTTAAAAAATATTAATTCAATGGTTTGTTGTTGAATAAATTAGCTTTTTATATTCTTAAACATGTCATTTAGTATAGATTACAATTCATATGAAGGTGTAAAGTAAAATAGATACATTTTTATAAATATGTAAAATGTACAATAGTTAATCAGTGATCAAATTTTGTTGTTTTGTTGTTGGTAATGATTAATTGGGTTATATGAATAATACTTGAGTAGATAGTTAAAGTTGCTAAAATATATATTTTAAATACATAGAAAATGTGTATATATTTTATTGAAGTAAAATTTGGTAATTTGAATGGATAATTTGACTGCCCCAACAAAAAAGGTCGTAACTCAACTATTTTTTTTCTTTAAAAACTGAAACTTGTAATAATTTCGGTATCTTTCATTGAACTATTGATGTTATTTTTGAAAATGTGCGTTTAAAAATAGAATAAAAATATGAATTGTAATGTTCATTTTACTCATACTGAAAAGTTAGAACAAATGAGTTACGACCTTTTTTGTTGGGGCAGTTGAATCAGTGGTTTGATATAATTTATTATATTTTGATATGTGCCCATAATTTTAATAATCTTATTTTACTTTTTAAAATGTAATAAATTATATATTTCATAAATTATTTTTTTAAAAGAAACATTTTAGGATCTTGATTTGGATTTTGCTACTTTTATTATTCTTTCAACTTCAATATTTAGTCTAATATCTTTATTAATGGCATATAAACAATAATTTATTTTACAAAATTGATTATTTAAATTGTAAAATGAAATATATCATTTTCAATAATTGGTAGATAATAAACAGTTGTTAATAATTAATAGACAATAGTACAGTAAATGGAAATCAAGCATTTATGTTGGTACATCATATTTTTCAAATAAAACAGAATATTTTAGTTATTATAATACAGAATATGAACAATTTATTAAAATGTATAGTTAATCATGTTAATTAATATACTATATTAATACTACATTACATTTTATATGAAATTCACTTATCTTAATTGTATAAATTATGAATAAAACCATTTCCTTTACTAAAAAATAATGAACTAATTGAAAATATACAATATATAAATACTCAATTCAGTATAAACATTGAGTCAAGCCAGCAGAGTAGCTAACATAGATTATTTATAAAACTGATTATAGTTTTGTTTTAGTAAATATTTCACAATTTGTTGCAATCCAAGGATGTTGCATCACATCTTTTAGAGGTAATCTGCTTTTAGGTATTTTAACCAAAAGTTTTGAAACCAGATCTCTAGAACTATCAGTCATGTGAGGTTTAAAACCATAAATTACAGATCTAATTTTTCTGAAAGTTTCAGACTGTTCTGAACTTTCAAATGGAGGAGATCCACATAAAAATTCATAACATAACACTCCCAAACACCAGTTGTCTACATATTCATTATAAGTTTTGGTGTCAACCATCTCTGGTGGTAAATAATCAACAGTTCCACACATAGTACTTCGACTTTTGGATGGTGCATGTACAGACCAACCAAAATCTGCCAATTTAATAACATGATTACTAAATAATAAAAGATTCTCAGGTTTTATATCTCTGTGAATAACACTTTGAGAATGACAATATCTTAGAGCATCAGCCACTTGACGTAAGTAATATGCAGCAGTTGGTTCATTAAAACGTTTATGTGGTTGTGCATTCAATACTTTAAATACCTCACCTTCTTGGGCAAACTCTAATATTAAATATATTTTTTTTTCATCCCAAAAATATGTAAGCATTTTCAGAATGTTTGGATGGTTAAGATGGGTTTGAATTTCAATTTCTCGTCGTACTTGATGTTCCATATGGTCTTTTACCAATTCTGATTTAAACATCATTTTTAATGCAACCATATATTCTGTTCTTTTTTCTCTAGCAAGATAAACACGACCAAATTTTCCACGGCCAAGAGGTGTTCCAATTTCAAAATCATTTAATTTCCACTGAAAATTTGGAGGACGATTAGATCTAATTTCTTTCATAATTTTTTCAATATTTTTAGCAACTTCATTTTTAGGTTTAGTTTTATTGTTTTCTTCTATTTCTGTCTTCATGATAAGATGATTGAAAATCAGCAAATAAAACTGAAATAATAAAAATGTTTATATTAGAGTACAACAAATTTAACTAACATAACATAACTATCCAGTAGGGTAATTGTTTTGGATAGGGCAGATTTCATATAATTAAAAATAAAGATATCCTATTATAATTGAAAAGCAGTTTTGACTTGCAGTCAAAAGTATAGTATTTTTTTTATACAAGATCTGTTAATGTGCTACTTCTAGAAGGATATATATATATATAGTATATAATTTTATAGTATACTGGGTCAAACCTATTTTATTAGAATTTAAAATTAATTTATTTTCACCAAAAATTACTCCTCCAACACTACTATCCAGTAGAAAATATACTAACTAAACCTATATGAAAAAGATAATAGATATTTAGCAAAATTTTGTAGATACATATTGTTTTAATAAGATATATCTTTAATTAAATTTTAATTTTATACTACATCCATATACATAAAGGTACCTAATAAAAGTTAAATATTAGTATAATTAGTACACGGTATGGATTCCTATACAAACATTTTTGTATTCTTATTGATTGCCAATATTTTTATACTGGTAAATGGAGTAGAAAATATAAAGTTTTATTAACAGGTGATTTGATGAAAATGGTGAGCTTTATGTAGTTTTAGGTGTATTAGACCAAAATGTCAAAAGAATTTTTAGACTAAAACATTATGTAATTTAGCAAAAAAATTTCCATTTTATCGGTCTGATGAATTTCTCATTCAATTAAAATATCAATCTGCAATAGGTAAAATATTATTTTCATCTAGTAATGGTCTTTCCGAACTGTTAAATCAAGTATGAGTATAAACTTATCAATTGGATTCGAAGAATTAAAAAAAGGAAATTATTATAATTCCTGTATCAAGTGCTTCAACGGAAAGAAGCTTTTCAACAATGAGAGGAATAAAAATATACCTCAGATAAACTATGAAAAGTTCTAGACTAAACGATTTGATATTACTTTCCATAGATAGGAAAATAAGGGGACAATTTATGGATAATCTATCAGCTGTTATTGATGAGTTTGCTGTCATGAAAATTAGAATTTTTACTTTAAAAATATATTAAAAAATAACAATACGTATATTATTAATTACGAGTATATTAATACTTATAATCAGGGCTCGGGATTTTGTAGTTAAAATCTTAAAAATATGCGCTTAAATATACATTCATTTTTAGTTAAAAGACGTATTAATACAAATTTAATAAAAAAAAAAAAAAAAAAAAAAAAACAAATCTTGCACATATTTACTACACTACTACCAAATTCCGAAATGAAACCTCTCAAGCGACTAATTAAATTTAATTGTTTTTCTTTCTGCATATTTATTTATTTAAGAAAATTATACCACAAATACGATCACTAATAAATGAACTGACACAAGCTACGAAAACAAATACGAACACGAAGACAAACACGACAAAATACGCAGCAACACTTTATGAAGAAATTGATTGTCGTCCGTAGTTTGTCAATTACTGAGTACTAGCAAACAAAATAATACTTTTAAAGACAGATAAATAAAATAAATGGAATTATGCTATTGAGTACCGCCCTATCAGTATTTTTGCAGACGAATTTGACTCTTAATATAATCTTATTAATACATGTGGCTCGTGTACATAGACACGTTGGCCACCCCTGTTATATAAATATGTAGCTAATGTTACCAAAATATACTTAAAAAGTAAATTTTGCTATAATCAATAACTGATTGGTTTATGAGAATTAAATTACTAACTTAATTCATAACTAATTCTCCTAACATAATTATCCAGGGTTATGGTAGAGAGGAGTCATATGGATAAATAAAAAACCATGGTTAATCAAAACTTAATGTAACGAATTATAATTAAATAAATAAATTTATTAATTATGTACATAACAAAGGTGGGCAAGTTAATGAAAATAATTAACTCGAGTTAATTTAAATTATGAGAACACAAGATCTTTAAGTAAAAGGTTAACAGTTAACAATTCATAATTTTAACTCAATAAGTTAAAAGTTAATAGAGAAAAAAAAATATTAAATTTTTAACTAGTTAATGCCCACCTTTGTATATGTATATATGCATCAATTACAGAGAAGTTAATATATGTTTTATTGAATGAAATGCTCATTCACAGTATACCAAATTGCAAAATCCTAACTTCAGATAAAAACACATTTAATGTTGCATGAAAATTATCATAAAATTGCTAAAAAGTAAGGCCTTACATGCCAAACACTATTTATAACAAAGCACTATTTTAAAACTTAAATATTACAAATTTACATTAATTTTCTGAAATATAATAGTATACAACTCACCAGATCAGAATGATGCCCAACTCCGTAGTCCGTACAGCTCTTGAGAATCGTATTTCGGCTAAACACTAATAATATCACAAACAGTTTAACCCATGGAATAGAATATATAATTAACAATAATAATAGGGATTCACTTTAAACTAAAATACTAAAATATTAAACTTGCACATAAAAAATATAATAGTGAATACCCAGCGTAGTAGTGGACGGTTAAGGAATTAGGAAACCGTTCAGTTAAGGTTGGTGGTCGGTAGTGACCAATGGGACGCGTGCATTCGGTTGCATTCAAAATACGGCATTCCCGTTGGCCAGTGATTCCAACGTTATCATATTTTAACTGTCTCGCATATCAGTTATCACTTTTGAAATAATTTTGTTCTCTCTATGGTACCACGACCCAGGGTCAGAAGTAAGTCGAACCAGAGATTATAAGAATATATATATTTATATAAACTGTGGGCATATGTTTTATCATAGGTATTTATCATTAAAATATTTCCGTATGTGCGTTTGTTTCGGCTAGAAAAAAAAAAAAAAAACAATAATAAGTAATAATACGCAACACTCGAAAATGAATATTGTATGCCTAATCGTACGTTGACTAATTCGTGCGTGAACTATGTCGGTATCACCGACATAAACCCGAGCGTAGTTGTTTCTCCTTTTATTCGTGTATGTGACCGCCTCGCACCGATATCCAAACGTGTGACCGTGCAATTTGCTGTATCTCACGGGCGTCTGGGTGAGTGTTATTGGAGTTCCGCCATGAAGGCATCACTATATTTCCTCGTGGTGCTTCTCTATGCCTTATGTCATGGCAATGCTACCCAGGAAAACCAGCCCAAAGAAGTTGTGACCACAGACAACACGAATCCATTGAATTCTTCTAGTACAACGGTTGTCAATAACAATGAAACGCAGGCCAACAACACCACCAATATGGATACGTCAACTTCTGTGGAAGTTCCTTCGAACGAGACTTATGTCATCAATGCTACAGAAAAATCGACATCCATCACGTCTGGTGAACCTGTGCTTCCAAAAAAGGGTTCGGCTGAAGAAGAGCGCAACAGTTCAATCGCCATCTTCTTTGTACTCAGTGTTCTTGCTTTGGGCATACTCCTCATACATCTCATGCTTTCGACACATTTCCAGTATTTACCTGAAAGTGTAGTTATTGTATTCCTGGGTGCCGTTATCGGTCTTATAATTAACCTTATGTCTGAACAGCATATTGCCAACTGGCGTAATGAGGAAGCATTCTCGCCCACAGCATTTTTCCTTGTGCTTTTACCTCCCATTATTTTCGAATCCGGCTACAATTTACATAAAGGAAATTTTTTTCAAAATATTGGTTCTATTTTAGTGTTTGCTATTATTGGCACTACCATTTCAGCCTTGGTTATTGGTGCTGGCGTATATGTTCTTGGTCTGGCACAAGTAGCCTACAAATTAAGTTTTGTTGAAAGCTTTGCATTCGGATCATTGATTTCAGCTGTTGATCCAGTGGCCACAGTTGCTATTTTTCATGCATTGGATGTAGATCCTGTATTAAATATGTTAGTGTTTGGTGAAAGTATATTAAATGATGCAATTGCAATTGTGCTGACTACATCAGTATTACAATCAAATGGACCTGCTATGAGTACTTCTGAAGCCGTATTAACTGGCATTAAACAGTTCTGTTTGATGTTTTTTGCTTCGGCTGGCATTGGAGTAATATTTGCCTTAATTAGTGCTCTACTGTTGAAATATGTAGACCTAAGGAAAACACCTTCATTAGAATTTGCTATGATGCTGGTGTTTACTTATGCTCCTTATGTTTTAGCTGAAGGCATACATTTGTCAGGTAAAATTATTTATACTCACTTTCTTATTCATTTTATATAATGAATTGTTTATTCTAGGAATTATGGCTATTCTGTTCAATGGAATTGTTATGTCACATTATACTCATTTTAATCTGTCAACGGTCACACAAATTACTATGCAACAGACTATGAGAACATTGGCATTTATTGCTGAAACTTGTGTATTTGCTTATCTTGGATTAGCATTATTTAGTTTCAGATTGCACTTTGAACCAGCTTTAGTCATATGGAGTTTAATTCTATGTTTAATTGGACGTGCATGCAACATATTCCCATTAGCTTATTTATGCAATAAATTCAGAGAACATCAAATTACTAAACATATGATGTTCATTATGTGGTTTAGTGGTAAGTTTTTATTATCTAATCTCTTCATTATAAATTATGATGATCATTAGATTAAAGCTCCTATTTTTTTTCTCTAATTTTAATTATTTAAATTACCCTTCCTTCTATTATTTTATAATACATTGCTTGTCAATTAAAGAATTAAGAAATAGTATTGCCAAATTTTGGAATCAATTTATTTATAGAAAAATTATTTAATTTTTTTACACTTCAAATCCCTTTTTACTATTAATAAAATTAATGATGAATCAATTTCATTAATGCTAGTATATTTTGTCTAGAAATTTTGCTGAAACGGCACCCGTCATTGAAATTACTAAAATAGTATTTATATTGAAATAATTATTTACAGATTTTAGGTTTTGTGGTTTTCAATTTATATTAATAAATAAAAAAAACCATATAACATATTTTTTAATTAGAATTATTTACAAGTAGCTGTTTTTATTTAAGGGGAGATGTAGTCTCAGTTTCCCCTGATGAATCGCCTCTGTCTAGATATCCAATGAATCGGTAACATAAAATGTATGCAACATTTAGTATTAAAAAAAAAAAAAAATATATAAGTATAAAAAAAAAATGGTTTAATTTTAGTAAATGTTTTTCTAACATTATACTTAAAAAATCTATTATTCTTGTATTTTTACAAAGATATCATACCGAAAACTATAAATACGGTTTTAATAAAGCTTCTCTATTTAAGTTCTTCTTTTCGTGTGTTGAAATTCTCTGTTGCTGTATTAATGATGGCAAATATTTTATGATTTCCTCAGATTAGAATTTTCCCACAAAAAGCAGAAGTTTTCTTTATTGAATTTATTAATATTTGTTTTAAATTAATAGACATCAAAGAAGATTCAGATTTTGATAGAATACTCCCATTTAATTATTCAGTTCTGTATTCATTATTAATACATTCATTTTGGTTGGGGACTTAATTTTATAATACTGCGTTTAAATGTTATTATCGATTTATTTAGGACTAAGAGGAGCTATTTCATATGCGTTATCATTGCATTTAGAATTTAGTAATGAAACTAGACATGTCATAATCACAACTACGTTGTGTATTATATTAGTTACGACTTTATTGTTTGGTGGTTCAACAATGCCACTAATGAAGGTAATATATAGCTATTAATAAAGTAGAATTAAATTATCAGTGTCTTGATTTTCTTTTTTAGATCTTGCAATCATCAAAAGCTGGGAGAACACCTCGTAGACGGAGAAAAGACAAAGCTATATCTCTTAGTAAAACAAAAGAATGGGTAATTTCAATAAATATTATATAATTATTTTAATTTTAAATATATTTGTAATTATTTATGTAAAATTATGTTAGGGACAAGCAATTGATTCTGAACATTTATCAGAACTAACTGAAGAAGAAATGGAGGTTAATTTTATACAATCAAGAATTAGTGGATTTGCTAAATTGGACATAAGATATTTCATACCATTCTTTACTAGACGTTTTACACAAGAAGTTAGTGTAAAATATATTAAATTATTAAAATATTATAAGGTTTATTATAATAAAAATACTTTCAAGTGTTATATAAAAATATATTTAAATTATACTAATTTGTATATCAATTAATTTTTTTTTTTAGGAATTGAAAGACTGTAAAACTCAGATGACTGATCTGACAAATCAATGGTACCAAGCAATTCGTATATCACCAACAGCATCAGATGATGATAAGATTACAAACAATGGACAGTCTCAGACAACTAGTCGTCAGTCAAGTTGACAATTACAGCAACCACCTATTGTGAGGCAAAGTAATGGAGGGGAAACGCAGTCGTTGATACACCGACAAAACTTCCAAGTATAACAGTTTTGTTTTACAGGTAATAATTTGTTAAGTGACATTCAGAGCTTGTCTGCATCGAGTTTACCACATACGACCGGCCAACCACAATAATATTAACAACTATTTTACTCATTGTACTTAATGTATACATTTTTATAATAGAAAAATATTCATAGAATTATATCAACTATTCCTAATCACTATTTCACAATAAAACTATTCTTGTGAATTGTGTCTTACAGAAAAGTTGTTGTATCTAAAGTATACTTTAACGCTTAAAGTCTGAATTTTTTTAAAAAAATAAGTAATTGCACAATTTTATACTGTTATGTCTGATATTAAAACAAAGTGTGATAGATATTTTAATTTATGTAATTTTGTTTAGTATGTGACATTCTATTTATTTTTTTTGTTTTGTTTAAATATTTAGTTTATCTTATATTTATTACAGTTTCTATATAATTAAATAATTGCCTCGAAAAACAAATCATATATTTTGAATGAAGCTGCATGTGCCATTATATAACTATTTTTGTATAACCAAAATAAAGTATAAAATGAGCTTATTAGTAAGTACACTAGTAAACTATTCTAGTGTGAGCTTGCTTATGTTCACAAAAGTAATTCTATCAAATATTCTTGCCTGCTTCTGCTTTGTTTAAATGATATGTTATTTATTTTTTATTACTACCATTATAAGTTAAATAAATAGAATATTTGAGATATTTTCCCCTACTATTAAAATTTAAACTGAATATTTACTATTCCTTCTGTTAAGATTCAATTAAAATAACCATTTTCTGACGAATAGAAATTAGTGTTGCCTATTTTTTTTATTTTTTTTGAAATAAAAATTAAATAAATTGGCAGTGTTTTTTCGTAATGTTACCTTTTAATTTAAGTAAAATTTTCTTTGTATCATAATCAATTATATTATTTTGTTGATATATTGTTTTCTTGTGATAAAATATACAAATTTTTATCTAAAACAAAATGATTATATTTTTTGCAGTTATCCAAAAATATTAACCAAATTTAATAGTTTGAAAATAGAGCAAGTTATTAAATAATTGCTCAAATTATGTAGTAAGCTGTTGAATTAATTCATAATGATTTCTTAGTAGGCTTTAATTATTCTTATTCTTAGATTTACGTTTGTGGTAATAGTTTTATGTTTTTTGTTTGGTATATTTGCGACAAAATTATGTATACTATAGAAATTTGTAAATTTGACAACAAACTAAATGTAAATGATTATTATGAAAATACATTTATACTGAATTTATTATTTTATTACCAACTAAAATAATTAGGGTCATGAGTTAATATTTTGAATTTATATACGTTATTTATCTGTGATGTTATTGTAAAATATTTTTAACGTTAAATACAACATTTAATATTTTGAATTTTATATTATTTTTTGGATAAATAATGTGTGCATAAATGCAATATAGGTACTGGATTGTATTAGTAAGTATATAAAACTTAAATTTTTTTTAAGTAATCACTTTGCTGTAATGTGCGAACAATGGCAAACTAAAAAAAAAAAAAAACTTAATTTTTTAGAACAACCAGACTTGATTTACTTAAAACAATTAAGTTTTTTGCATAATTGAAAATATTTGATAATGCTCGAAAATTAAAAATGTTATGTCATATTTATGTAAGATATATCACAACTCAATTCTGATGTAGAGTCTGATGTAGTAGTCAATTGCTGATTTAGAGTTTATAAAATCTATAGAAAAAGTGATAAATATATGTTAGATAAAGAAAACAGGTCATAGTACATAATTGTGAGATAATTGAGAATTATATAATATCTGTGGCTGTTATAAAGGGGAGGATCGCCTTTCCCCTTCAGATAATTTTAAATTAAGTATATTGCCAGCCCAACAACACCTATTTGCAAATTTTCGAACTTATGATTTGATAACAAAATATTTTTCTTTTTTATCCACGAATGATATATTTTATTAGTATTATCATACTCTATGTTTTGATTGTTCATGACAGATGTTATTATAAATATAATAATTATTAATATTAATATTAAAATTACTATAAGATACATTTTTTAAATCAATTTATTTATATATTTTTTTTAATGGATTAATGTTAAAGTATGTTAATATTGTTGTTATATAAACATTATTATAAATTTATACCTATAATATGAATGTATATTTTATATTATATGTATATAATATATATATAATAATGTTATGGGGGGAGTGTTGGCTTTTTTTTCGCCCCTCCTCTCTTGAAAATCATGAATAATTGTTACAATTTCCAAATGCTAACAGATAAAAACAAATAAAACAATAAAGTAGTATTATATTTACCATAAGGATGGCATCTGACAGACATGATTGGCTACAACAACAAGGCTTAGCCTTTAGAAGCTGATGATGATACTTACCATGTATTTTTCATATGTTCATAAATGAGTTAACACTTGAGAATTTTAAGAGGATATATTTCTAGAAATTAATGTGTTAGGCATTGAAAGCGAGTGTTAAACTTTAGTTAGTAAAGGATCTGTATATATTTTTTTAAGTCTAGATCAGTGGTTCTTAATCTTTTGGTTCAGCACCCCTTTATCATAATAACTTTCTGTTAACGCTCCCCTCTTATTTAAAATTAAATTTTCTTCCTATAAATATATATATATTCATTCATCAGTATACTAAATTAAAGTAAAAACTCTTATCTTAAGAAAATAGTAATGGTTATATTTTACTCCACTTAACAAAAAAATTTGACTTTATAAAAACATTTTAGTTAACTATGAAAAAAAAAATTATAAAATATAAAAATTATGCCTATCAATGATTGCCCTGAACCTGATGAGTAGTTGCAAATGTGACGATGCCTGGTTCGATATTGGTCAAATCTAAACGTAGATCACCTTTGTTACAAATGTCCAACCGATTTCTTTATTAGGAAAAATCTGAACAACAACGCTGAATCCTTTTTCAACTACATACGTTGACGAGAAAGAAAGAAGCAACAATTTAACATGTTTTGATAGTTGTGGATAAGTGTCTTTAAGCTTGATCTAGTCTAGCTCGTAACCGACTAGCCTAAAAATAAGTTGTGTCTCACAATCGTGCTTAAGATCGATAAACTCCATTTGTAAATAAGATTCGAGATCTTCTACAGATTCAAACGAAAATCGTTCTAAAATCCAATTATAGATTTGTAACTGAAGTAGGTCTTGAAATCTTGATTTCATGTCTTTTTTGAGCTGCAAAATATGATCAGTGAAAATTAGAATTTTCTCTTCTGGAACTGAACCATTTGCGTCTGAACATGAATTGAGATTCGGAAACTAACTCAGTTCTCGACAATTTATGTTTGTTTTGTAAAGATCGAACTGAAAAATGAATAAGGAAATTATTCCTTTGGCCTTGATAAAGTTCATCTTATTCTCTTGGAGCTTCAAATTTATTTCATTCATTTTTTTCAAAAATATCTGTGAGGTACCTACTCGATTTCCATTTTTCGTTGCTTCTAATTGTCCTCTAAGACAGAATCAATTTTATCGAGAGATTCAATGATAGAGTAAAATAATGCGAAAAAAACACAACAATTTTCCTTTGGAAAGCCACCTTACTGCCGTATGCAAAAGTAATCTTTCAAAATCTTCATCATTATCATGAAAAAGTTCTTGAAATATGTGGTAATTGAGTGAATTTGTTTTAATTTTGTTTACAGATTTTATGACTAATTGAAGGGTTTCGTGCAAGACACTGCTTAAGTTTTTTGCAGCTAAATGTTGGTGACGTTTAACACAATGAACACAAATAATATCTGGGACGGTTTTTTTTTAGGTGGGCTATAAACTCAACATGACGACCGGTCATTGAAGGAGCGCCATCCATTGCGTATGCAATAATATTAGTCAAGGGGACATTTTTTCTCATAAAATATTCATCCACCGTTTGAAAAATTGACGACTCTTGGTATCAGTGATCAAAATTGTATCAAATAATACTTCCTTGACGATTTATTATTTTTATTTTTCATTTCCGAGTTTGAAAAAGCTCAGCGCCTCCTTTAAAATTATTGCTCATTCGGAGAGACCGAAATGCCCCCAAGGGGGTGGTATTGCCTCTTTTAAGAACCACTAATCTAGATAATACTTATAATTTTTCAATGAGTTTAAACTTTTAAAATATTGTTTATCCAATAAAAAAGCATTGCATTTGATGTGACTGGTAGTTGAAAATTGTTGTGAAAATGTTTGATCAATTTATATGTATCTTGGATGTAATTTTTTAAGGTTAATGGAAGTAGTAAGTACCGTTTAGTTTTGAGTCTGAATATAATTTATAAACATTATATAAACATTATATAGTGCACTTGTAATAAACATAATAATAACATAGCATATCATATACAACATATTAATATATATATATATATATATTGGAAAACTATCCAAATGTCTATACCTACATTTTTTAATGTGAATTATAAATATATTTTAATAATTTTGAATTTGTTCGTCATTATTATTTCTAATAAATTCTTATTTTAATTACATTTTTTATAAAATCATTATTTAATAGGTAATAAGTAAGTATAATTAATATTGTTTATTAAAAAAAAATATTCCATAAATATATGTACTGATTTATACAATACTATATATGCATAGTGACCACTGTGTTTATTTCTATTTTATAAGTCAATTCATTTTAAATGCTGTCTTAATACTGTTTTAATATCGTTCAAAATATTTGAGATAAATTCAAAATAGTTTATGTAAATAAATATTGATTGTATTTCCAAATATGTCATTTCAATAAAAGGTACAAATATAATTACAGAATTATAGATGTTATATGTGTACATATTAGGTGTATTGTGATATACTTAGATACTTAGATAAAGAATAGGACATCAAATTACATAGTATTATAGATGTTAAACATTTATAACAAAGTATCCTAAATTTAAAACTTAAGATTTACCTTAAAATATCATACAATTAAAATGAATAAATAAAAAAGTTAATATTCTTGAAAACAAACAGAAATTACATACATACTAAACAAAATATAATAAAAAAATCAAAACATATATTTAAAAAAATTTAATTGATTATCTGAATATCTAACACTAGTTGGTAATATGATAATAGGTAGGTAACTCAAATGGTTCAAGATTAGTCATGCAAAAAATATATTATTTCGATTATATTTATTTTTCAGTCTCTCCAAATTCTTAGGAAAATCTACTAAAAAAAGTTTACATACGATCTCACAAGTAGGTACCTAGGTAAGTATAACTGTAATGAATAAAATAACTACCCTGATTTTTTCTCGATTCTATTATTAAAATCTTTACTAATTGTGATGCGTAATTTCGTAAAATAGAAGCAATAATAAAAAAACAAGGTACCCATTAAAGTATTTTATTTAGAGCATTGAGTCTGTAAAAATTTGCATTATTCAAATGTAAATAATAATAACGATAGAGAATAAAAAACATAAAAAAATTACTCGATTCTTTTTATTATCAATCATCCATACTCAAACATTACTTATACATACTAGATAGGATGTGTTACAAGAAAAACTATAAACAAATGGTTTACATTGTTCAACAAATTTAAATAAGTTATGCCATCAAAAGAAAGAGTAATGAACAATATATTATTAAAAAAAAAGATTATAGTTTGTCAGTAATAATCTGTTTAGTGTTTACACATGTACAAATGAGTAAGAGAAAAATATATAACACGCTTAACTAAAACACTATATACCTAATTGAATTATATGTTAATTGAAAATAAATACCTTTTGTAGTAGTTATCGTTTTATTGACATTGTAAAATGTGCTTAAAGTACCATTATTGACCAATATTGCGAAAAAAATCCCCCAACTATTTGGGGTCGGCCACTCTTGTCCTTAACTTCCCCATTCGTCTCAATTTTCTACATCCCCTACGCATACACCACCAGCCCTCATATCCTCAATCGTATCCAACCATCTCTTCTTGGCCTTTTTATATTAGTTATAAAATAATATACATTTCTCATTTCACTCGGAATCTAAAATGAAATGACTGTTGTTTATATAAAATACACCATACTTTTCAATAGATATTTTAGTATCATGTATAATATAAAATCAAAAAATACCACATTAGTCAGATAATTGTATTTTTCCATTCATTATTGTTATTATTTGTGATTTTTTATTTTAACAAAAGCCTATCAAACGTTATAAAATCTGTATATGAATAAGTATAAATATTAATTTAATATGTTTATTAAAAAAAAGTGATTGCTAAGAATAATTTAACAATTATTAAACTTATCATCGAGCTGAATAAATATTATACGACTATATGAGACAGTATTGGAAAATATAATATTATAAGTTATATAGGTATCCATAAATATATAATATATGCAGTGGTGGAAGCAGTGGCGTACCTGTGTAACATTTTTTGGGGGGGGGGGGGGCA